GGATTGTGGGATTGTTTATTATAGGTTTCCACTGTAGGGCAGGGGTCCTCAGCGTGTCCATGGCCCTTCAGTGCTGGAAGAGGTGTGTACAAAGTCAGGGTGGGGTGGTTTAGGCACGTTTGTGGTGTGTATGTGTGTGAGGCTGGGGAAGGAGCAGGGTTCCTGGAGGGGGGGGGAGTCACATGAGAGGTGCTATCATAGGTCTGACCTAGTGCTTAGAGATAAGAAGAACTACTTGGGAATAGTAACCTATTTTTAAGAGATACTGGTGGTGTGCTGTGGAGTTGGTTCCAACTCCTAGTGATCCTGCATAGGGTTTCCAAAGCTGTAAATCTTTACAGGAGTAGAAAGCCTCATCTTTCTCCCAAGGAAATTCTGGTAGTTTCAAAGTGCTGAGTGTGAGATTAGCAGCCCAATTCGTAACCACACTAGGCTAGCCCTTCCTGTGAGGTTTCTTTCTGCTTTGGTTAATGGTTGTGCTTGTTCATTTACTCCCAGCGGGGGGGGGGGGGGGGGGGGAGAGAAACACAGGTTAGGAAGAAGGCCTTGTCCTCTCCAAGGTCAGAATAGGTTTGCTGTGTGTTCCTTGTGCCTACTATATCCCAAGGCTCCTTCCTGGTGGGGCCAATGGCCAGGACTGTGAAAAGCCTGCAGTGTGGGGAGGGGAATGGAGAGCAGCTTCCCAAAGAAGGGAGGGAATGGAGGAAGGAGCTAGGCTCAACCTTGTCAGCTGCTTTCCACGTAAGTCTTAACCCTGTCCCTGAAATATGGACAAGGAAAATAAGGGTAGCGCTAACTGATGGCCTTGGGATAACTTCTTCTTCTTAGTCCCTGCAGCAAATCAGATGCCAAGCAAGTCTCTGGCTGGTGACCCTGTCGTGGAAGCAGGTTAATGTTCAATAATAAAGAGTAAACTGTGGGCCATGCCACAGCCACAGTGGGGCAATCCAGAGGGAAGAGGGGGTATACCAGATTTTGCGACTTGTGTCACACAAGCTGGAGAATGCTACCTCTTTCCTTGTGGAGGCAAACCTACATCCCACCCGTTGCCTTGCCTTACCATACCATACCATATTAAGGACTCTCTCCTCTTGGAGAACTGAGACTCTGGCTAGATGCTCCATCTTCTAGCCTTTGTTCTCTAGACTTCTTTTCAGGAAGCATAGTGGGCTTCCTGAAATTCTTTCATTTTTTTCCCCTCTTCAATCGGAACTTTTATAAAGATAGAATTTGGGTCAATGTGAAAGGTGAGAATTTTGAAAATTGAAAAAATATAACCCAGAGAAAATGTCAAAAGCTGCTGCCATGCTTGTAGCACCAGCAAGCAGTTCTTGCCCGCCTCCCTCTCCCCTGCCTGTCTCAATAGTCCCCTCACTGGCAGATGATCCAATTGGAACCACTCTGTGTTTCCTAGTCTCTGGTGACCCAGATAGTAAGGAGTGTCTGTGTTTGGCTGCTTTGGACAAGAGAGCACATTAGATTTCCTTGAGGACATTTATCTTGGTGCAGATCGTGAGGGCAGGTTCCAGTTTGATGTTCACGGCACTTCAAAGATGTTCTGCTTAAGTAATAAAAGAGCCCATCCATCAGTCTCCTTCCTAGGAACAAAACTCCTCTGCAATCTCTCAGCAGCCTTGTAGAGAAGCAATGAACTCATACCTTTCCTCTACACTCCAACAGTTAGGAACACAGGGCTGATGCCCAGTAATTCCAGTGTTGGCGGAGCTGTGTGGGAATTCACCAGGTCTCGTTTTCCATGCCCAGCTCTCACTGATAAAAGCCCTGGAGATGAGTGTTTCATCATAACTGGAATTATCTGAACCCTGATTAGAATCTTCTTGACCCCGGTGACTCTTGCTCTGGACCTTTGTACCGGCAGGGCCCACACCAGCAAACATGAGCATAGTGGACTTCCTGTAACGCTTTCATTTTTCCCCCTCTTCAATGGGAACTGGTGGCTACAGCTCACATTGTACCTTTTGGTACAAGCCACAGAGCAGAACCTCTTGGAGCCACAAAACTCTTCCACAGGGGTGTATTTTCCTCAGTACTTGTACCTCAGGAGAGTTGCTTTCTTACCTAGTTCAGCAGATGGGCTGTCCCCTCCCAAGGGGCCACCTGACTGATTTGCATGCAGCCCTGTCTGAGACCAGTCTGTAGTGGCTTCTCAGACTCTTTCAGCAACCGAGAACAACTCACCGGGAAAGGTTCTGTTCCTTCCTAGATAACAAAGCCTTCAATGACCTGAGTGAGAATATGGGACTTCACAGTGGCCTGCGGGGGTTTTGAGTCACTCATTTGTCTGGACACTTCCTAGCGTCACTGTTTGGGGTATTAGCATTCATACTGGCCACTGGTTCAGCTTTTCCTCCAAAATTGTTTTTCTCCTCTATGGCCTTTTGGGCTCTCTGCTATTGGAGATGCCTTCTTAGCAGGAAACATTGAACACAATGTAGAAACATTTATCTCTTCTTCAGACTTAGCCTTGCATTTGACAGCCACTGTTTGGGGTTTACCTAGCAGGTGCACAGACTGCATACAGTAAACAGCAGGCACCCGGGTTATGGCTGATGAGGAGGCTGTGCTGTCCCCTGCACAGGGCCAAGGATCATCCCACAGGCCAATGTGTGTGCCTGGGGTGAAGGTGGCTCAATGGCCTTGATTAACTGTCTGCACAGTACCAGGCAGTCCCCGGGAAGTAGGTAGAGCAGCTGCCAGCTGTGCCAAACCCCAAACCTGTGCCTGGGATCTACCTGGATGTCGAGTGCCCACAACTTGAACCAGGATGTGAGGTGGTAGTTGCTGAGTAGCAGACATCTTGGGTGTGACAGGTGCTTTGGATTGGATGGGGAGGGGGATGGTGGGAGGGACAAAGGTGAAGGCTAAAGCGCAGGCTGAACAACTAAGGTCTGAGCTTGCTGCTGGGACTGAGAAGGTGCGACCTGCTGACTAGGTGGGACCTGTGGGGGCTAAGGGGCAGTGAGGGTGTGGCTTGCTACTGGGCTGAATTTGTAAAGGTGAAAACCCTCACTGTGATAGTCAGAGAACACTAGAAAGTAGGATATTACAATTACCCATACCCAGATGTCACATGGCTTCCAAACATGGTTAACCCCTTGTTGGCACATGTTGTAGGGGAGAGTTGCAGCCCATTCCCCATGACTCTTGATTCCATTTTAAGTGGTGCTGTAGGATAAGCACTGTACCACAAGGTCCAATTGAAGCACACGGTCAGCAGCTCAAACTCACTAGCCGCTCCTCGGAAACCCTATGCAGGGTGGCTATGAGTTGGAACCAACCAACCAACCATCTTCTTTCAGGGAACTAGTCCATCTCTAAGTCTTTATATCCATCTCCATACCCAGTGGACTTCATATGTACATCTCATGTGCCATGCAGTAGATTCTCATTCATAGAGACTCTCTAGGAAACAGTAGAACTACCTCCTAGGTTTTCCTCGGCTGTAAACCTTAGCAGATTGCGGTATCTTCTTCCCCTGGAGTACCAGTGACTTCTAACTTCCCTTTCAGTTGGCAGTCCAGTACTTTAACCATTGTCCCACCAGGGCCCGTTTCCTAAGTCCTTTAGCTTATTGGCACCAGGCATGTACCTAGAACCAGGAATGCTGAACCACTCTATGCTTCCTACTTAATTTACCCCCCACCTCCTGTCCATTATAACTTATGGTGCCCCCACGGATTACTGAGTAGAACTGCATTATGGGCTTTTCTTGGCTGCAATCTTTACAGAAATAATCACCAGATTGCTTTTTCTCTGGCACTGCTGGGTGGATTTGAGTGAGCAATCTTTAGGGTAAAAGACCAATATTACAGCAAAATGCTTTTGCCAACCACAGACCGTTAGTACAACCTTGTCTTTCTGTGATACACACCCCTCCCCTTGCCCCTTAAGGGAATCCCCAAATCATCTGAGCTCAAAGGCCTCAGAGTAGTTTCGAAGGCTAAGGTAAACAGAACATTCATTCAATAAACCTTTAGCTTCTTGGGAGTAGGACTACACAGACATTGTTGGAGATGCCCTGTCTACCACTGAACACTTCTGCCTAGCAAACAAGACCACAGGACCTAAGTCTTTCTTTTTCTCCTACCTTGGCTTACTCTCCTCATTTCTGTTGCCTTCCAACTCTCTAACCCTGCCTCTCTGTCAATGTAGCAACAACTGTGAAGGTCGCACAGTATGAGCCACTAGCCAATGGGTACCATGGGTCAGAGCCACCCAACAACAACAACCCTCTAGCAAAGTAACAAAGGGCCTGATTTTCCTCTCTAGTTTGGCTAGGTTAACTCTTCAAACCCCTTATCTTTTGCTGTGGAATGCCCAACCCCCAAAGAGTGAAGTGCAGGTTCCCGTGAGGCCTTAGCACACAGCTCTCTCTCTCCTTGTCTCTTAAGACAGATTTTAAGACAAATCCTAACAGAAAGCTTGCAAATCAATGGCGCCTCACGCCTTTCTTCTTAATAATCTGTTTTCCCTCTTAGTCTCTTAAACATTCCCAGGGTCTACAGCACTACAATCTGGACTCTAAATAATAATAAACTAAGCACAGGTAAAGATATATTATAAAATATATTTTAAATACTTCAGGCTTTAAAAATAGTTATGCACTTAGTATGAGGTTTTGTCTAAAAATATAGTAAGCATTAAAATGTTTAATTTTAGGTTATGTGAATCTCATTTCCACTAAAAAAATAACAGTAAGCATAAAAAAAAAAACTCAAAGCCAGAGATAAATGTACTTGCTATATAGTGGTCTTATGTTGAGATACTGCTGGGTGAATTATTACTCAAATGTAATCTTTTAGACATTGTCTAACATAATATGTTTTTTACTTTAGCTCCTTCATTAGAAAAATGTATCTCTGAATTCTCAGTTCATGAAATCCATACAGTTGAACTATGTTAACTGACTGAATTGCCACTCTGGGCCTATGTAAACTCAAAACTTTATCACATGAGATGATTTTCTCTCTCTTGCCACATCACTGAATTCTGACCAACAATCTCACTATAATCCCCACTAGTAAGATTAAAACAACTGCCAGGAGCAAGAGTCCTCGCCGAAAGACCAGCTGCCTCCTGGACAACTTAGTCCTATCCCTTGGATGGATGGAGAGGGGCTCTTCTGTCTGCAACTGCTGATCCAACTGACTCTCATCTTTTTCTTCAATGTCGCTCATTAAAATTCCTCCATGGTTTCCAGGACTCCCTAAGGGGAAAAAGGAACTCAGTTAGCAGCTTAAAAATCTTTCTTTTTTATTTTAAAAAATGTCTATCACTCTATACACTGAACAGACCTAATCAATATTTACAAAAGAATAATTGAAACAATGCAGAATATTTTCTTTCTATTCTTTTTTCCTTCCTCTTCACCTAAGTTCATGTGTCTACCCTCTAGTTAGTGACTTACTCCCCCTTCTCCTCCCACCCCTGGTAACCATGAAAGAATGTTTCTTTTAAGTGTTGGTAAAATAATGTGAAACATATATATAAATTCATATATAAATAGAGATTTACTACAAGGAAATGGCTTATGCATGGTGGGGACTGGACTATCCAAACTCTGCAGGAAAGATGGCAGCCTAGAGTTCTCTGCTGGTTCACATACCAAGCACTGCTGGAAGCCAGGTGATGAGAAGAATGCAGAGCTGAGTGAGCTTTGCCAGAACTTTCATTTATATACTGGAGGGAACTCCCCTTTCAACTGATGGGATGGTCACATCAGATAACACCATGGAAACTGATTAAATTAACTTACATTACGGAAGTATACCCAGTCCAGTATCAGCCAAACCACTGAGAAGCATAGTGTAGTCAAATTGACACATGTTAAGGGGCTTCAAAAGTTCATGGAAAAATTCCATTATATTTTCATTATACTTTTCCATGAACTTTTTGTAGCAACCTTATCACATTAACTATCACACCACCATTTGGAAAATTGGGATGATAGCAGTACCTGCTTACATTATTGATATGAGGGTTCTGTGAGCTACTATATGTAAAACGATGAGCACAGTGCTTGGCAGAATAGGCATTTTATATCTGTGAGCATTTATTAATAATGTTCAAAAGTATTCTATCTTAAAAGAAAGGGGAGAGGCAGGGCTTGATGGTGGGTTAGGAAGAAGCACTGGGAAGATTATGGAAAATGGTATGGCATTTCCTAAGAAAGCTGGAAACAGAAATAGCTTATGATCCAGCAATTCCTCTACTTGGTATTTATCCACAAGAAATACAAACCAGAACAAAAGTAGATATATGCACACCAATGTTCATAGCAGCACTATTCACAATAGCAAAAAGATGGATACAGCCTAAGTGCCCAACAATAGAAGAATGGATAAACAAACTTTAGTACATTCACACAATGGAATATTATGCTAGTTTGAAGAACAACAAGGAAGCTGCAAACCACCGCATAACATGGATGAACATTGAAAACATTATAGTGACTGAAATTAGTCACAAAAGGACAAATATTGCATAAGACCATTATTGTAAAAGCTTAAGAAATGATACCCATACTAAAAGAAAAAAGAAAAAAAAATCTTTGTTGGTTATGAGGGGTGAGAGGGAAGGGATGGTAGAGTACAGGTTAGGGGACAGACACATCATAGTTTGGGTATTAGGGAGTGTTACCTTCCGGGTTCTTCCCTCTCCCCTCCCTTCAACTCCATTTTGTCTGTTTCCCCGCCCTAAGTTTCAAGGGCAACATGGCTTTTGATAGGCCAGAGCTAAATCACCCCAGCAATGACCACTCCCTTCCTGTTGAACCTATATAAGACCACTCCCTTCCCATTGACTCTCTCTCTTTTCTTCTGCCTCCTGCCTTCTCTCTCCAGCAGAGATCACCTTCCTCACCCTGAATAAAAGTCTCTAGATGGGCCATCTGGTGTGTGGTATGGTTGATGAGCGACGCTGGGGTTTGTTTTCCCTTTCAGGGTGGGCAATGCACAAGAAGGGGGGCAGGATAGAAGAACAAGGTAGATAGGGGAACACTTAGGCAGGCTTGCATGTGCTAAATGGGACAGATATAAATAATGATGTATGCTCAACCTTGGAACAACAGGGTTCTGTGATACAGAGATTGAGGCACAGTTTGGGTAAAAGAGGGGAAATACTGTTAAAATGCTTGACTGTCTTATGAATATTGGTTTCCCTTACCTACTATTATAAAATAGACACTTGAATGGGATAGAGAGGAATATTGTGAAGCATGACTACAGAAAGCTTGTAAGACATCAGGTGGGAATCCTGAGCCCCATCCAGAACCTTCTGAGGTAGGGCACTTGAAAGGACATGCAGACCAGCCTGGAGCAGCTGGAGGAACAGAAGATACTTCTTGAAAGAAAGACCAGCAAGAAAAATCAAAAACAAAAATGGCAGTCTGACTGGCTACTACAAGAACAAGCAAGTTGTTCACTGGGGAGCCATCAAGGCAAGCAATCAAGTCCCTTCAGGTCAAACTCCCCTCCAAGACTGAAACTCAAAGGGAACACATGAGCAGGTGTGTAAGCTTGCTGGTGACCATGTTGGTCTACGTGTGAGTGGAAGAGAGGGAAAGGTAGCAATGAAGACATGGACTGAGTCTGACCACGTTCCATAGACTCCCATTGACCTTGAAATGAGAGAAAGAAGAGGAAGGGCTGGTTGGTCTGAAGTGTGGTAAGCCCTAGGGATTCCTAAGCCCATGGACAAGGACCTAGCCATGAAGGGCTACAACTGAGAGTGAAGCGTCCAGCTGATATGAAGTGAGGGGAGACGACAAGAATACCCAAACTTGCAGACAGTACCTGTTTGACCTAGATTCGATGGCTTGATGATTGACTAGAAGAAGATAAAGAAACTCAACTAGAAGAAGATAAAGAAATTTGCTAAAGGAAACAAGTGTAAATTGCTACAATTTGATGAACTTGACTTACACCTATGAGCTCAAAAGAGGGAACACATCTTTACAGTAAGGATCATTCCCACCCCCTCAGTGCATAGGATAGATAGGGATGGGCAACTTGGACATTGGATACCTAAAATGGGGGGGCTACAAAGGCAAGAAGTAACTGG